ATGTCTGTTTGAAGAGGATCTGGTTTGTTTAACATGAGCGGGATGCGGTTAATTTTATTTTTATGTATTTATTTTTTTACCGTACATTAAGAACTACTGAAATCATTTTCAGATTACACATAAGTAGTTTAGATTAATTAATTCTGCTGGGGGGGAAAGGAATTACCTTAGGGTTAGAATAGGATTCACTCTTCAACCTACCGTACCTACTATTCAACCTACTGAGCCTACTGGCACAATCTGAAGCCATTCTATGGGACTCATAACTGCTAATACGCCATTTATTGGGATGAGAACACCCAAAGCTCGGCTGCAAACAGACACTTGATATTTATTCTGCAAAAGAAGATAGAGAATCAAACTGAGGAGGAACCCCATTAGATGATGAACAGGTCCTATGTATTACAACAATGTTTTAAGACTTCATCTTCATCTGCTGGCAGATTATTTCAGCTAAATAGAAACACTGGTCCACTACCATTCAAGCAATATACCCTTAATGTTATCATGGTCAAAACAGGCAGGAGGCCGATTTAACATGTATTAGTTTTGCTGAATATATATTCCTGATATCTGAAAAAAAAAAAACATATTTTCCTTGTCAAAATGACCATTTAAAAAAATAACATTCTTTACAAATAGAATGAACATTCTGGAAATCTAGAAAATAATTTCCTATCTCCATATTCCTATTGTTACTGGTCATCATTTGTAATATTTTGACAATGAAGAAATGTATTTTAGATCAAATAAATACATATTCAGACTCATATTCTGACTAGAATTGAGTAGGCTACGTCAGGCTACATGGATGTAGCTTTAACATAAGTTCAGGCGTCAATCAGTACTTTTACTTTTATGAATCTTTTTTTTTTACACTGGTGTCTGTGCTTTTACTTTTGTGAAGAATGTAAGTACTGCTCTGTGTCAATGAGTCTAAAAAAATCCCAGTTCATTTCCATTACATTTTGGACAAAAACTAAGAAGCTAAACATTCAGTCTGGTTTATATTTCTAGTTTTCTTAAGATTTGTGTTATTTGCTGCATATAAACCTAAGAAATCAAAGAATAAAGTGAGTGGATCTATAATACTTTTTTTGTCATCTCTTTCTTTACCATTTTAAGATCTGTTCAGCCTTAGGTCACCAACCTTACCATGGTTGTTTGAAAGTGGAGGACTGGAGAGCTGGGAACAGCGGCTCTGATCTTTTCAAAACCATATAGATGACCATGGGAGGCTTGCATTTGCCACAATTATCATTTGTTCACTTGCATACCAATGAAAGAGCCATAATATTTTTCATAGTTGGTGGCCTGTCAGAGTTATTAGGGTTTTTTTTAAGGACAAGAAGCATTTAGGGCACATTGTTGCAGACTGCAACATTTACAGGAAATGGATTTTCCGGCAGTAATTTTCTGCGGCCTGCACATATCCAGCTCTGCCAGCGGCAAAAAGACAACTGTAGATTAAGTACAGTTGTCTTTTTGGGAATCATTTTTGAAAAAGCTACATATCATTCAAACTGTTTTTGCTTTTTCTGAAAGATGAGAATGTTGTGTTTGTTTTGTGTTTGAGATAAAGGAGGATTGTTTAGCCTCTAGATTTACAGCTTACAGGACAACCAGAGAAATACAACATCTGGTACATTGTTATAGAAGATATTCAAAAGAAAAGTATTTAAAAGGAAAAAGATATGTATGTGTTTTAATTGATAAAGTC